AGAAGATCTTCAGCTAATAGCTATAGATCCACTATACTCACCAAGCCTCACCAATATGATGCCCTATATGGCTTTTATGGAAATCAGAGGAACTTCTGGAAAGCAAATGACTTTCGGCAAAATGGATCGATTGCAGAACAATACTGTAGACCGCTAGGAAACTAGGCGAGCTTAACGATAGTCATGTCCTTTGAGTGACACTCACATAAATGAGGCCGCGTATAGAAATATATACAGGTATAAATGCACACAAGGTATCACACTCACTGAGAATGAGGGCGAAAATAGGTCCACAGGGCATCTTTCTAACTGACGATGAGGGCGAAAAAGCGTCAACGGAGCATCTTGAGGACGAGGCGACAGGACATGGAACATATTTCAGAAGCATTTGGATGGTAAAAAAGGTGCGTAGTTTTATTGATTATAACTATTACAGCTGTTGTTGGAATATTTTTGAAAAATAAATGAGTTTCCTGGAAATTAATAGAATGCATCGAATCGCCATACTCGGTTCAGATAAATGTATATGAAATAGCTATAGACTCACTAGATCCATCAACCCTCACGCTTTTTCTAAAAAAGTATACCGAAGAGTGACAGTAATAGTGAGGATCAGGGTGAGAATGATGGTATGCTCAATATTTTTTTTACTGTTGAAACATTGTGTGGTATTGAACGGGTATGGATACTGATGAGAGATGGGCTTAAGATTAAACTGATGATGTTGATATAAAAAGAGTTGATAATCATAGGTGTTGCGAATAACTTGTTTGTTTTTCTTCTTGCCTTGCATCCTCACCTAGTCGCGAAATAGTTAGAGTCTTTTTTTTTGTTTGTAATTCAGAAAGAATTCGAAAAGACCATAGAGTCGAGTTCTAGGGGGGAGGGTCTATGATTATTACTGGTACTTTTCTATAAATAGAGTGGGTCCTGGGGATCTAGGTAGTCTAGGCATGTTATAGATACCTTTTTATTAAAAAAAAGCGTTGAATGGTGTCGAAAAATAGCTTACAATGTTGACCAATCAGACAACATTTAAGTATCAGTGTGGGTGTGGATGTGAGGGTGTGCGTGTGTTTTATCTATAGCTATAACCACGCCCACACCCACCATTCGATACATCTGTACACATTGAATGATCTTTATAAAACGATTCGAGAGCATGTCAATGCATATGCAATCCTAGTATATTTGAATTTATCGTTATTATCTACACGTGCATACCTAGACACCTTTTATCGTTGACTTTTTGTATCAATATACGATGTTAATTGATATTATTATGCCATGAAAATACCAAACAGCATGGTTGAAGCACGTAATTTTTCATCAACATCCAAAAACAAACCCGTTCGTTTAGTGAAAACGATCTTTTCTTAATTTACTTACAAATTGTGCCTATATCTGAGCAGTCTCTCATCAGTTTTTTAACAGAGAACGCAAAGGGTGTGAGCTTAAACAAAAACTTCAGACACCCACGCCCACATCCACATCCTAATTGTTCATATTTCACGAATAATATTGATTTAATTGAAAAAAAACATCATGATAAGTCACATAAAAAATTATATCAATTCAGTTTCAAGCATAATAACTGTGAGAAATGAGTACATCAGCCAAAACTGCCAGTTGATCTTCAGTGAATTGTTCTCGATGTTCATGCCATGAATCATGATGAGTACGACGAAATTCTGACAAACAGTTTTTAATCGATTTCTAAAGACAAAAACTTGGGTACATTCTGATAATAGCAGATTGGGAAAAACACACTTGTATTATATCGGGATCATGCGAATGTTCACAGAGAAGCATCAATGCATCTGGTACATAAGTTGGAATATCATATGGGCTTGAGAGAACAATGGCACAGAGTCCCAAAATACCTATAACGATAGTCAAAATTATCGACAGTAATGAAACATGTGTTTTTTTAAGCTTTTCTAGCGAATACGATATTCGAAGACGCTGATCTACATGAAATTCATTCCGCTTGAAAACATTCTTTTTTTATTAATATTGAAAAAAGACTTTTTCGTGCCATTTTTGTTTTCCACGGTTTCAACTAGAAGGAATCCGAACTTTTGATAGACCAATCAATCTCGTGTGACTCATAATAGTCAGTAAATTTGTATCTTAACACTTAAACTTTGAACTTCGTTTATTTCATTATCATATATATATATATAGACTTACCGCCATGTCGTTTGGCAATATTGTTCGATAATGTGACTTTCTTCCCATCGATTTCGGTGAAATAATTAGTCTTGCTCATCATACGAAAGTATTTCTTTTTTACAATTAAAAAATTTTTTTAAATTCTTTCAAGAGAAAAAAAGGCAAGAACATCCTACCAGGTCTTCATTAGTCACTTGAATGTAGTCACATTGGTAGAAGCCAGACAAAGTCATCAATGCAGCTATTCGCACTTCAAATTGTTCATCAAATAGACATTTGAGTACAAGTTTATGTAATTGTTTAGAATAAGGACGAGCATTAAATAGATTGCAAAAGATCATGTTTTGTGCAAATTCAATGGTCGCTCGACGTGCATGCCATTTGGGGCTTGTACAAACCTACGTATGTGATGATAAAAGCGATAATCTGTAGAATCTTTTTTTTTCAAGATATACTTGTTCTAATTGTTGAATAAGTACTTCTAAAAAGTTTGCATTTAAAAAACACATGCCGACATATAATCGACTGATTGTTAATTTTTCTCTAAAGACATTGTCATTGGTCGCAATGCTTTCGATTTCACATAGCTAGAAAAATTACATGTTGAAAAGTTTTATATTAGCAAGTTGATATGTTTACACAAGCCCAACCTAAATACTCACATAAGGAAAAAGACGAATTATCGCATTTTTTATTGGTTGTTGACACCAGAAGAAGAATTGCATGTGCATATCAACCACTACATTGTATTTTAAAGAAAAAAAGAAACAGATATATACTACACTTTTTAAACATCAAGTAATTGTATTTTTACCTGCTTCAATGAAATTCAACGCTTTACGTGCTTCAAGATCAATGCCAACGACTTCATCCGATATATTGACTAAAAATGATATTGAAATAAAAAAAAACAGAATTCTATCCTACTTAATGACGTCCTTTCATGAATTTCAATAGCTTGCTGCAATTGTTTACATATAGTATCGATAAATTGACTAGTATTAGGCTGGCGTGTCGATTTTCCATTGAACAACGTTATATCAAAGCTAATTGATATTGATAATATACTAATAACAAGAAAAAAAAAATAACAACTTGATTTTGTATTAGAAATAAACTCGGAATCTGTTACTTACTTGGCAATACTTTCTCGTACATCTTTGTATGGATGATCAAGAAGTGTTTTAGCATAGTCATTAATCTTACACCAAACAGATGGAATACGCCATTGAAATTCTCTTAAATTTTCTATTAGAGTCCAGCGAGACATTTCGTTGAATGTATTCAACATTGTTTTAGTATTGATCAATGTGCAAATAAAGTGAATGAGTCGATATATACGACGAGGATCTTTATTCTCCTTTAAGATATAGACAAGATTTAGCAAGAGAAAAGGTAAACAACTAACCATACTATATTTGAAGCATGTATTCCAATAGGAGAAAGTTTCGAAATTGAGATTTGTGCAAACTTCAGTAAGAAATGGTGTGAGCTTTTCCCAGAGTTCATTAAGCTAAATAAAAACACTGAAGTATCTTGTATTTACTAGCATCTACGTCTAATTAGGAAAAAAACGAACTGATGCTTGTTTTTTTTTTGATAATGTAAATTCAGTTATCGCATAAAGTGAACATATTTGACTTACCATTTCTAATGTCCAATATTTTGAACCACATATCATACCAGCTACTATTTCAGCTGCCACCCGATGACTACTTGCCTGTTTTTCTTTTTTTTCTTCATGAATAAGCACGTACAATTGTTCCATGAAATTGTCCAGAAAAGCAAGACCGAAATTGCGAAGGAGACCCTAGATGATCAAACAAAATACTAGCTGGAAAAAAATTATTAAAACGAATCTATTCTCAGAATCGGTAGATTTCGTACTCATTTCATGTATATGAAAAAGATCGAAATTGAATATATTGTGTTTTCTATTTTTTTGAGACACGATTAAATGCTTTCAAAATATTGGTTTTCATTTTTAGTCAGAAGGGTATACTTCTTAATTTGAAAATCTATCATTTGAATATTAGATAGCTGTAAATCTTATTTACTTTGAACATGACAAATTGAGTTTTATCGAAATTTATCTCGCTTCCGTCTTCATCTTCATCCAAAATCATAAATTCTATCACTTGTTCTACAAAATTCTTGTCAATAAAACGATCATATAAAATAGTCACGTCTTCTGGCATATTATTTAGTGTGTAGCGTTCTCGTTTATTCAATGCGTATTTGATCATCTTTGGCCAGGTGTAATAACCATGAAATGGTTTATCCAAAAAACATGTTTGTTCCCATTCAATCTGTGTCTCAGGTGGTTTATAATCATCGATTGTTATCCATGAATTATCATCACGATCACCGGGATAACATTCATCATTCATCATAACTGGTAGTGATTTACTGATGTTATGAAAAATTTCTTCTAGAGATTTTTCGATATAGATTCGAGGTGATTTTTGTAAACGACAAAATGCTACAATACCTATTGTAGCGTACTAAAGTAATAGAATGGAAAAATTTCACATTTTTTATCATAGTTCTTTAACTAACCCTTCGTAATTCAATATTATCATGAACGAGAAAACCAACGAATGTTTCAATACATGATGATGATATTGGCACAAACTTTTGAAGTAGAAGACATAATAATCCTATTGCTATCTTTTGTTGACCCCAAGTTCTGAATGTTAACGACAAAAGAAAAATTTATTTAAATATGAAGAAACCAGACTTACAGTATATCATCTACTAGTGATAGATTAAGCGCTTCTATTAGATTACTGTATGATTGAATATCTGTTTGATTGGATTCATTACGCGTTTCTATTTCGCTTGGTTCTAAAGGATGCCATAGACCTATTGCCGCATGTATCGATATTTCATTGGTATTTTGAATAATAACTTGCGTAACGAACTCGTCGCAAATTTTTTCATGAATATCATCAATCAAATTTTGTATACTAATTTTATTTGCATGAGCCATTCGTACAATTGATGGCCACAATTTTTCTTTCATTGCCCACGAATATTTAGTAGGCAAGAAAAAAGAATCATCACCCAAAAGAATATAGAGACATCCCTAAATGATGTTTAAATGAATTAGAATAAGAATAAGAAAAAGCAACAAATGACAAACTTTAATTTGATCATGATCAACTTCATCTTGTGTATTAAATAGTTCGGCAATGCGATCGATAATTACTTGAAATGAGAATTGATAATACTTGAGAACTTTGAAAAGTTCAGTTTGCGCTGCGCAACGAACCTGAGAATTGTATTTATTAAAATTTTCAATAGAAAAAAAAAATGTCTAATTTACTTCACTATATCGATTAATCGATAGTTCAAATAATTTGAGTATGATTTGTTTATCGATGTCATTCAATATTCCAACATTACTTAGTTCGAGTTCCTGAAAAATAGAGAATGTTTTTTTTTTACTATATTTTCATTTTTCTCGATTACTTCGATTTGTAATCCTATTTTTTGGATTGACAAAAAACGATTATTTTGCCCTTCACCACATAGTTTATTCTTTAATAATTGTTCGTGAGAAGTAAATTCATCACGTGAAAATTCAATATAACTTTCATTTATACCATAATAGATAGACGTCAATGAATAGAACTAGAAATAGAAATATGCAACCTAAGATGAGATGTTCGTGTAATCTGTAATTACTTTCAGAGCGGTTGTCATGGATGCAACATCATCCGAATTATTTTCAATCAATAGATCTATAATGAAAAGCTAATTTCTTTATATTTATTGATCAATAAAAGACCTACCGAGTAACTTTCCAATATCAATGAATAAGCGCATTCGTAAATTTTCTTTAAATTCTGAAACTGACAAATAATCTAATGATAACGAGTATGAATGTTTCTTCTTACTTAGTTCTTTAGAATAGATTGGAAATTGAATTTGATATTTTGACTCAAAAGGAACAACTGATGGTATACTACGACAATTTTTTAATTTGTTTAAATGATCATTCATGTTCTATGTTTACTTACAGATTTTGTATTTGTTCACTTTCGATACGTGGTATCATTCGAAAGCACTCGGTGGCTATAGATTGAATAATAGTGAGCGATCTTAATCGTTCATCATTCGATATTTTTAAACCTTTTTCATTCAATAAGGTTAATTCAGGATACAGGAATGTATTGACAAATTCACAGGCAAAATCAATTTCATCTTCATTTGGAATATGAAATTGAACTTGAAGTTTATTGAAATCAACATATTGTCCCCAAGCCTAAATAATATATATTATATAGAAGATATTGGAAAAAAAGACAAACTAACTCGAATTGGCAAAAAGTCAACAAATGGTTCCTCAATATTTTCAATCGTTAATCGATAATCGATTGGATATACATGAGTAAGTGACTCGAGTAAATGTTCAATGGCATGAGCAATAGTTTCGTATGAATTCTTGTTAATAAAATAAATACATTGACGAAAAACAGACATTATCATTGATTTATAGATCATGAGAGCATCACCACGAGCATGAACAAGCTCTGCAAAGAGAATTAAATACCAAGTCAGTTCAATATCACCTTTATGATCAGTTAATAATATAGTTGATTCGGAATTGTTTAATATTTTTTCGATGGATTCACATGTTTTAGGCATGAGATACTTGAGTGTTTCGACTGGATTTCCTTTGACAAGTGCTTGAACGAGACTAGAGACAATGTCTCGCACTCGGGATGATAAACATACACCAGAAACAAAATTTATCACTTTTTCTCGAATTTTCTAAATATTGATATTGAAAATTATATATTACAAATGATATGCAATCAGTGCATTTTTTAACATACGATTAATCTATCTGATGGAAGAAATGATCAAATAGATTTCCGATACATACTTGAAAAATTTTGCTACTGCACTGCTGAACTATATTGAACATGATCGTTGTTAGTTTCCAGTTGATCATAATATCATCTATATCAATATCTGCGTTATTTGTGACAGCATCGGACATATCTGCTGATAATACGTCAATCATTTGAAATATTCGATTGAGAAATTCAACAATGAAATCTTCAAAGCTTGCTGTTGATAGACATACTTCTTTTTCAATCTATAAAAAAATAAGAATACATTATTTTTCGATGTTAAAGTTAAATTTCACTTCTGTTAGATCATTTCGAGTGTTCACTGCTGATGAACAATCAACACATGTAATAAGCATAAGAATTGTATCAAGAAATTCTAATGTAACTGATGTTTTTTCCAAATCATTTAAATCAATACCCGGTAACACAGACATTAGTATTGGTAATACATAAATTTGTCCTTGAGAATAAGCTGATGTTTGTTGGACTATTTGACGAGCAATATGTGTTAAACAAGTAATGATTGATGTGAAACGATGTGGTTCAGTCATACAATCAATAGATGAAAAATGTCTACAAAATATCAATGAGTTATCAAAGAAATAAAAAAAAGAATATCAGACTTTTCAACAATTGATGGTATAATTAATTCTGGTCGAAGTATAGAAAGATATTTGCAAGTTTTAGCTGCTTCTTCAGTATAATCCTTATTAAAAATAGAAATGAATGCATAGTCTTTCACACAATTGACAAAATCAGTAATATCTTGTTCAGTGAGTCGATATGACTCTAGTGGTGCAAAGGACCAAACAGGGCGACTTGTACGTTCCCTACAAAATTCTTTTCAGATAAAACACACACACATCAAAAGTATTTTGTTTACACTCACAAATGAACTCGATCGACAAAATTTTGAGCAAGTCCTAGGATAAACTCGACTAGATCCTTTTGAAATGCTCCCGTATTCGATGGATGATAGAAACTTTTCATAGCCATTAATAGATCTCGCAAATATTGAAGACATGAACCTCCATTGCCTATCATTGCAATGATCCATTTTGTTGAAGTTGACACAATGGGATTGTATTCTTCTAAAGATATTTGTATTTTACCAATCGGAAGCGAAAAACTTCGAAGTATGTGCGTAAAAATCTAACAAAAAAAATGGTTTTAATTTAAAAAAAAACAAGAAATCTTTGCACCTGTGGCATCCAAGGTTCCCAATGAATATGACCTATATTATTCCAGGCAACCGATGAAAATAGAACACAAAGATACTAAATTAGATTTTTTATCATAAAAAAAAAATATAATGAATAAGATAACTCACTGATTTCCATGCTGATGTCTTCTGTATATTTGCCCATATACCGAAAAACTCAGCTAGCCATAATCTAAAGAGAAAGATATAACAGAAGGAAGAAGATGAACAAACTTGAATCCTTGATTGTGCAAATCTGGAGGCAGATTGACAGGAAGAAGCAGAGTAAACATTTTGATGGTATTAACAAAACTTGAATCGAATGGACATATTCGTGGACGTAATTCATCAAGAATTTCTTGAGTGGTCTGTGCTGAAAAGTATGAAGCACATAGTCGCACACAAGCAAAAAGTGACATATTAATGTCTCTGAAAGCAAAATCAATAATAACAATAATAATAAATTCTTTCAATTCTTCAATACAAGAAAAATCATACGAACTTAGGCAGAATGACTAATCCATGTGTTTTATCATGATTATCATAAATGAGTTGAGCCCAATTGTAGAATATTCGCCAATCGATTATCAAATCATTTCGTGTAATTAGACGAATCTTTCTACAAAACATTGTTCTATTATTTCTAAATCGAAATGAAAATACGAACCGCATGAGCTCGCGAAGCATATCAAAACATATTTGAGCATGTATATAATTCAAATTAGTAATAGAAAGAATAGATAAATACAAATTAATAAGTTTGACATGATCAACTTTAGTAAAATTGAATCCATAGAGTGAAATGAATCTTTTCAGTTTATCTGACCAAATTGAAAAGCCAGGCTCTAATTCACCCAATTGAATGGTACGCGATAAGTTTTCTCGAATTTCATCAAACAATATAAAACTTTGTTGCTTGATGGATTCATAGAATGGTGTATATTTATTGTAAATGTTAGGTTGTTGCAGATTTTTATCAATCAAATGATTATTCATTTGTGTATCTGAAAAGAGAATACAATTAGATCGAAAGCATTACGAAGAATGATTTTAGAAGTTTACTCAAAAGGTCTCTATGAATATAATTAATTAATTTTTCGTGTAATACTAAGATTCAAAATTCGAGCATGTGCTCGGTAAAAAGAAAACAACGACATGCTACGAAAAGATGATAAGCACATCGTAGATAACTCTTATCTCTACTCGTCTCTTTCTGTTCTTTTTTCACGTAAAGTCAAGAATAAGGACAGCATTTATTAAATTGTCAAAACACGAAAGAGAAAAAGATCGTGCTGTGGAGAACCGGATGATACAACTCGATATGTTGAAGCTTTTTAATCATGAAGAAGTTAATATAAAATTTAATACAATAGGTTATGGACATAAAAGGATTATTCTCACTTGCCTCAAATCGATTTTCGTTTACTGTTTCTTCAATTTAAAATATCAAGATAAATTATACAAAAACATGTCAATTCGTTTTCAAGCATAATAACCGTGCGAAATGAGTATGATGAATCTACCGACATATGCTCACCCTCATCCTTGAGTAGAAGAAAAGGTTCTGGCACGTTCTTTCTTAAGAAGAAAATTGAAACATATCACAAGATTGCTTTAAATCACATCTCTGTGTAAACTTATCGTGACTCACACTGCCTTCCAATGCTACACATTGCGAAGCATAAATAATGTTTTTTTTGCGGTTCTTATATGAATATTCTTCACCTATTTTCTTTCTCTGACATGTGGATTTTTCTTTTTTCCTTTCACTTGTTTTTCTTCTTCTATGTGAGTGTGGCACTTCTTACCTGGCGTTATTTTTCATCGTCATTACTAAGGTTCCGTTTACAATTAGAATACACATTCGAAGGTGATAAACGCAAGCGTAACATCCCGGAAAAAAAAGGTGTTCGCCGTTGATTTTGCCAAGTGAGCAGTTTGAAATCAATATTGCTATCTTGTCTTCCAATAGCAAAAAATCCTTGTATTCTGTTTTCCTTCTTTTTTTTAACATTTCTTTCTTCTTATATATTTTTTTCTTTTGCTTCTCTTTACCTGTGTTTTCTTTTCTTCCTAGTACCGAGATTATGGGCACTAAGACTATTTCTGGTAGGACAGTTTATATTATTAAAATAATATAATTACAGCTATGACATGTTTTTTTCCTTAATTAAGGACATCATTTAATAAAGTTCGAAAAAAATGGTTCGGCAACTTTCACATTAATTAAAGATGTTTCAATAGACTTGATCCTAATTTAGAACATCAACTAGCACGACCAGAAACGGTCGTATCCGACACTAATTTCCTTAGATATCCTATCTCAGGGAACAAAAATGGTACACAGCTATCGTTTCTGACAGTTTCTTCACTTCGAAATCCGTAAAGAGAATATAGTGATCAGATCAAGGGGGAAACAGCTAAAATCAGATTTTTTTGATTTTTTGATTTTTTTTTTGATTTTTTTGATTTTTTGATTTTTTTGATTTTTTGATTTTTTTGATTTTTTTGATTTTTTTTTGATTTTTGTGATTTAAATCAGCTGTTTCCCCCTTGGATCAGATACGCACGGGAACTCGCCGGTCCTGTTGCTCGTAAACTTAGCATATGAAACATCCAAGTAGGATGAATCGTAGAAAAGAACGAATGATCTTTGGCTATGTCTCAGCTACTGCTGATGTATATCAACTAATCAGATTGTATTAGTGTTTCCAAGAGATCAGTTCTTAACCACTCATATTTTCGTAGGAGAAATTTATTCGAGAAGTGATCAATATACTGTAAAAGAAGGTGTCAGATAAAATCGATCAGAATTTGATTCTACTCGACATTGAAGACCATTTGGATTGAAATCTGTTCAGATACGGCTGTACTTTTTCTAGATACACTAAAAAGCACTGAGTTCAGTTGTGTTATGAAATCAAACCCAAAGACACATATAGGAGTGAAGATGAAGAGAATGGCATAGTCCTCATCCCTTAGTCTCACCTTTACCATCAAGTGAAGAAGATCAAATACCCTTGTTCATGTTGCAGTATACTAACTTAATTTTGTTATCGTTCCTTTTCAGCTCTACAGTCTCTAAGAGAAGTACACCATCGTTATTTGTATTTTACTTCATCATTCATTGCTGCCAGACACATTCAATTATATTTTTAAAAGAAAAGCAATGTTATCGGACTGCACATTCTTTGAAACCTATGGAAGAGACATGCGTCTACTTGAGAATGATCGAGTATGCAAAAAAATGGGCTATCGGAATTTTCATGCCTGGGCGCTTGGTGCTCAATTCTATTCGACAGATATTCATTCAATTCGCATAAAAGTCGAAAGTAAATACGATACATTCATAGGAATTGTCTCGGCGGACATTGCTATACCTATGCTCATCTCAAACACAATTTCAACGCATGGCTGGTGGACAGGTGGAGGTGTTCTTGTCAATGGAAAAGTGCAAGAAAAACATCGCTGGACAAATCACCATCAAGAAAATGATATTTACAGGTTGACAATCGATTGTGATCGACACCGTTTGAGTATTGTCAATGAACGAACTAACATGTATTGCAACGGACGACTACTACAACACGAAATCGAAGTGAATCAACTAGATTATATGAAAGTTGATTTCGTCGAAGCTCCTCATCCATGGGTATTGTTTATTCTTCTTCGCAAAGGTCAAATTCGTCTTATGTGAATGCTACACTCAGATCTCTGGTTGTATTAATAACGATATCCTCATCTGATCCTAACAAGTCGCACCATGATCATATTTCGAATACAACTAATGATGACGACTGATTCATGAGGTTGTGGGTGTGGATGGATATGAATCTTATCTTGATGCATACCTACACCCTCAGCCAACCACATGCACACCCCACTCTCATGCTCACATTCATCCCACATCCACATCCAGACGCCCACGCCCACACCCTGAAGAATAAACTGTTAACGAAAAAAAAATAAAACATTTTTTGTATTTGTACTTATGCCTAGAGCATTTAAATATCACACTTGATTCTCAACATAATTATCCTCATTCGATCCTTCTCGGAAGTAGTGCTGAATATGCTCAAAGGTCATTTCCAATTCTGTGGAATCATCTATAAGCACCCAATTATCTTTACTAAAATAATCTCAAAAGATAAATGTACCGAATATTGAAATACTTGCTATATCTTTCGATCCATTACTTATAAACTCTATTTCTTTCAAGTGATTTCCACTCGTCAACTAGACGTTGATTTTCTCCTAAAATTAAAAATCTATTTTACCCTGTTGTGATATAAAAAAAAAGTAAGAGCGTTAACAGTCATCAGAAGATTTGTTTTTGAAATATTTTTACGAAATCGTTAATTTTTTTGATATTTTCCTCATATGATTTCTTTAATTGATTCAACATTGTTTCATACGTTTTGTTTAGTTGACTAAGACTTGCAGTAAGTGAATCGAGCAATTTCTGAGATTGAATAATGTGTATTTCTATATAAATAGAAATATACAGGTGTTTTTTTAATTAAGTTATGTAATTTGCATTGACTACAGAAGTCTTCGTCTATTATCTATATTCATTAAATTGTCTTCTATCGTATTACATTGTTCCTGTACTTCCATTAAACGTTCTGTAATACACTTTTCACTTTACATTTTGAACATTTCACTATGAGCACAGCCGAAACGTTCGACTTTGAGAATTGCGATGACATCTGTAGTTGTTTTTTGCACGACGAGAAGAAATCTATACCTTTTTTGAAAAACCTTATCTATTCCGCACAAAATAGGCGTGATTAAGAAGAGCAAATAAACATTTCATCTTTTTCTAAACAGCATATAAAATGCGTAAGTCACAAAGTTTGATATAAGATACAAGAACAGAACAGTCTAGGAACAATGTACATGTAATACGGCAGATTCTGACACTCAGACAGGACAACATTCTTTCTGTACTGGCCTGTTTTTGGCTGAAACACATTCAAATTGTGTTTAACATGTCTCTAATGCGCAGGAAGGCGTACGTACAAGTATGGCTGCATATATGGATGTCTGGTAGATATGGGAAAAAGAAGTAGCATACCCACATACTATACCCTAGAGTAAATACGAATTTTATTCATTGGAAGATTGTTAACATTCTTGTCAGAATTTTTAACGAAGAGGATGATCATTTTCATTACTCGATTGTGTTTGTTTGTTAAACACCATCTGCATAATGTGCTGCATTAAAAAAAGATGGACACCGACACAGTCGCATGTGTGCTACCTGGGTGTCAGTATACTTAGAACAAGAGCAACACACTTATCCACACCCAAACCTTCATTAGTTCGTTTTTGATAGAATTGGGTTTAATTTTAGGTTGATTATATCTGCTTATTTCGATCTATCATTTTGATGCTTTTCTTAGAATTGTTCCAAAAAAAATAGAGTGACGATAAAATGATGATATTTCGTGTGGGCTATTTCTTTATCTTCTCAAACATGTTTATTCGTCATAACGATGAAAAATCATGATAGTTGTAAAAGTATTTATATTTGTTCACTTCATCATATCTTATCAGGCAGTTATAGAAAGATTTTCAATTTCTTCTATCTAATAAATTAGAATATTTCTTTTTAGGTTAAAACTATCAAAGAATTTAACATGAATATAGATGTGAAATTGTCATTCAGTTTCTTAACATAGATTTTAATCTTAAATATCTGTGGTTCGTCATTGCTAATCTTTTTGAATATTGAATATTTCGAAAAAGACATATTCATTTTCGTTAAAACTATCAGAACTATCAAACGAGTCTATAGACAAACCTTTTTTTTTTATCGTAGTAATAATTTCATTTAGATGACCATAAATCTTTATTAATGGGTCATGGATGCGAAGGTTGTTAACCTTATCTTAATCTCGACAAGACCTATTCGTCGTAATCAACATACGAAGTCGAACGGTTTTCGATATTTGAGTATATTCCTTGGTAAACTTCTCATCCACTTTTCAGTATCATAATTTCTTTCTTCAGTTATAATCAAGTTATCTCAAATAAAATTATCATATAATAGACATATGAGATTATTTTGTTTATTTGGATATGGGTGTTAGTATCAGGAGTCAGTTATGGTGTTAGGTTCTCATCGACATCCACACCCACATCTCCACATTCATCTTGAAACAGAAACGATCGTATTTCCTCTACTCAAATTACCGTTTCATAATCAGAGGTCCATTCTAAATTAGAACAAGTATGACACACATCGACTCACTCACACACACAAATACCCTTCGATTTTAAGGGAAGTGCATACTAATATAAACTGCTTAAGACTGTACTCATCGAAATTTCTTTATTTTAAACTTTAACTCAGTGTAAGTGACCTCTATAGCCGCATCCACACCGATACTAATAATGTAAATGAGATTCTTAATCCTTTGAATCTCTACTTTTTTTTTCCCTTAATGTATATCAAATATCACTCAAATTAATTGATATCATACAATAGATTTGTTTTCATTAACAAAATTATTCTTTTTTTTTTGGCGTTCCAAAAAGGAATAGAAACAAGCTCTAAATTAATTGTATATATGAAGTAGCTTGTTGAGATTGTTAATATTTGACTGATCTTGCCCGGTATTCTCTATAAAAAAAACTAACAACTTAGTTTATATAATTATATGAGTAAAAAGATTTCTGAAGTATAATTAAAAAGAATTATTGAATGTATGAAAAACCATAAAATCTGTTAGTCACTATTGTTTTATGAAACATAGATTGGTACGTTATCTGGATCGCGAATCACAATTTCTCTACCATATGTCCCATTGGATTCTTTAAAACTGATATTTTCTACTTCCATTTTGGCTATGAACGTGTTCAAGTCATTACACATAACTCTTATACCTTCAAAACCAATTTCATTTTCTTGTAAATCTTTAAAAGGTGGTATATGTCTTGAACTATGAAAGTGTCTTATTTCGAGAGTTGTATACGGGCGTTTCCACAACCATTCACGATTAACAGTAACGTCTTTTATATCAGATTTTGGTGGATCTTCATTCGTCCAGGCAAAAAAAATATAGTGTGAAACCAAATTTTGGCACTTCTTGTATCGATAGTAATTTCATACCCAATAGATCTTGATAGAATCTTTGAGTTTTATCCATATCATTTGCATGTAATGTTATTTGACCAATGCAGCTAGGATATCCTAATGGGAATTTATCTTGTGGTGGTTGTTTACTTTTTTGGTTAATTTTAGCTTTAAATGTCGTGTCAAAATCATGCTGCAACAATTCAATACAAAAACCATTGAGATCTTTCAAATGACATAAATAACCGATATCTTCAAATTGTGATGCATCAGTTATATTCACTTGTTTAGATTGTAAAATTTGTTGTGCATGATCAACATCATACAATGTCATACCAATCTTCCAATAAATTTTTGATGCGCCACTATTAACAAGTAATGAAGTATTCGTTGATGAATCATTGTGATGAAATTCGAGTAATGTCGGTGAAGGCAATGTATTTAAAGCTTTGTTAAAATTTTCATCATAATTTGTTGTATATCCTAAAACATTAACATTATATGGAAGCGATGGTGTACAGATTTCAATGTTTTTCATGCCAAAATTATTCACATAAAATTTAATCAGTTCATTTAAGTCTTTAACACGAAGAATATTATGTGTTAATTTCAAGTCCATTTCTCTTGCAAAAATAGATGACGACACAGATGTTGACATTTCCAAACTTGTATTTAAAAAAACAGTTTTATTTGCATAAGATTTTTGATTATATAAAAATGCTGCCAAAAATACCAATTTATAATCTTCAAACTTAATAAGACTAAAAGTTTAATAACCATTTAAAGAAGCAGCCGTTTTTTTATTTTTATATAATATGAAACTATTGCTGATTAGGGTATAGGTGTGGGTTTGTAGCTGTTCATTCCACACTTACACCCACACTCTAAACTTCTTGAGTGTCTATTCTAAACAACCTTTCCTTCGAAATATTTGAATGAAACAGATGATGTTTTAATAAGATTTGTGTATTGCTGTAGCTAAAGAAATGATAACAATATAATTATTTGTTAATTGCTATTTACTAACACTATCATGTGAGAGATCGATGCGAATGTGTCTCTTCTTTCTCTGATTATTCTCTAAGAACATCTACCTATATTTAATTAAACTGTTTCTTATCGGGACATCATGAAAACTATCGACTGATTGATTGAATTTTTATTGTTGTCGTGAATGATAATGAGAGGATGAGTTTAATACTGGTAGTTTTTTGAACTATTGGCCATAGCACTAGTAGGAATCAGATCCTAGCTTGTATGG